TTCACCCTCTGCAGACACACCAAAGTTGCAGGCACAAATGTCATAGCAGGGTCACAGCTTGACAGGTGCTTGGCTCCGCAGGACAACAGGTTGTATGTCTTTAAAAGTGAATTATACGATGCCATTACCTGTGATAGCAGGGTCTTGACCGTAGTGACCTAGAAGATCCCATTTACCTTTATTTGTTCTCTTTTTTTTTGATGTCAGAATGTAAAAGAGCCTCTCTCCAAATACAAACAAAAGCATAGCAATACTTTAGTGAGTGCCAAAGGAGATGGCAGATCAAGTCGTCATTTCTGAGCGGCACTGCCATTATGGGAAGCTTTGCTGACAGTTATGAATGTCACTCATTAAAACACCCTCACACGGTTCTGATAAGTCTAAATAGTACTATTTTATAGTCAATGTCACTGGCGCCGCAGAGGGCATGAAAGTCGTCTTTTAAATTCATTCCTCAATGTAATCTGAATGCACCTGTATTGTCTACTAGGTGTTTTCTGAACACAGCCAAATAAATTTGGCATCGGCTGCCACAGGAACTGTCCTTCTGAATAATCTCTTGTGTTGTTGTCTAAAATGATTGCTTATTTCAAACATACAGGTTGGCACTTCATTCTTTTTTGTTTGTTTGCTTGCTCGCTTGTTTTTAACACAGTTACTACCAAGTTACCTCTACTCATTTGTGGTTCCAGACTTCTCTGGTCTCCTCATGTGTTCTGCACTTTCTGGATGTGGTTCATTTTTTTTTTTTAGAAGGAGGACCATTATATTTTGCTCCGTTGCTGCACATACTGCCAGTGAACATCCTTCCCCTTCACAGCCATGAGCTCCTCCGTGTGCCAAATGCGGGTGCCTGCCCAAAGCAGCATAAATACACGCTGATGGTGGTTACAAGCCTGAAAACTGCAGCCCCTGCGCTCGCTTAACAAGACAGCCTGGTTTTACACTCGGTTCCTTAAGTGCTGGGTACTGACGTCCTCTTGGCTACCATCACCCCACTAAAGAAGGTTTTCATTAACAGTAGAAAAGAAAAAGCATTAAAGCTCTTCTTTGTGATGAGCTCAAATCTACAGCTGACCTTGTGGATCTGTGTCCCCCCGCCTTGCTCATCAGCCCTGCTCTCAGGCAGCCTGGATGCTCCTTTCCTGGGAGACCACGCTATGTGTGGCAAAGGAGCATCTGGCAAAATGTGTGACGGCAGAAAATGTCCCCTTCTAGTAGTGTGGCACTCCACCATGTGGCACAGTCACTGCTTTATCATTCTCTCAAAAAGGGGCATAGGAAGGTGTACAAATTTTGCCACGTCAGAATAAGTGTTGAAACATTTTAATGCCTCCTCCATACCTTTAAATTTGGAAAGCTCAATATAGGGAGGGGAAAAGTGAGGGGAACTATAAATAAGAAATTATGTGGGATAAATCTAAATCCAATCCATGGTACATGTCACACCACCCCGTCAAACTCTCTCGTGCCTCACCAGCGGGATGTGGCTACAGGGAGTGCTGTGTTGCTGCCTGGACTGTTGGCTTCTTTTGTGGTTGTTGGGAATAATGGCTTAGCGTCAAAATCAGGCTCTTGTAGAAGTTCAAGCAACCCTGGAAAAAATGGGCAATCACTTCTAGTAAGGTCACAAGCTAATGAAATATAAAAGACATCTAATAATTGCACTCCGATGAAAGTGTTAGCAATCATCCTTGCATGTCTGATATCCCAAGCACGCCCCATGTGTCTAGTACATACATTTATGGTACAACACTCATGCTTCTTGACCTATACTGGTGCTTTCCAGACTTAAAAATGCATGTAAATATGAATATTGTGTTCAATTTGCCACACAAATCACTAAACTGGATGCACAGGCAGCTTCTATGCCTTCACAAGAACTTTTTCTAATGGATATTTCATATTGCAGCAGTCATTTTTAATAACTAAAAATGTTCTTAGGAAAGCTTTAAAGTTTTCCAAGCCTGGATTACAGCTTGAGCCTGCGAGGTGTTGAATTCATAGGATTTGGTTCAGCAAAGCATTTCTAGGGCTACTCACATGCTTAAAAGTGCAGAGTTATTTGGCATTGCTTTGCTGCATTGATTAGTGAGATACTGTGGTTTGAACCCACGGTGGGGACAGGAGGCCAGGTAACAGGGAAGAGGCAGGCCACCCACCGCTGACAGCCAGCCATAATCACCAAAACTGTGTTAAAATAGTCTTGACTTCCTACGTGATAGAAATAGTGCCATAATCTTAAAGTATGTGTTTCTATGAGAGGAGGCTTGAGCAGGTTACATGAAGTAGCTGCTAATGTTAGAAGACTTCCGAAGCCCTAAAGAACTATTTACCCAATGTAGCATTTTTTGCCCTTGGGGACAGGTTAATAAAGGTGTCTCTTTTCCAGATGATTTCACAGATGTTTGAACAAAAAGCCTTTTTATTGAAAATGTTATCTATATTAACAAAGTTTTATGATCTAAAAAGCTTGCTTTGGGTTTTTGCTAGGCAAAGAGCCTTAACATCAGCTCCTGGAGCAAGGACAGATGAGGACCTGGGTCGCTGTTCCTAGAATTAATTTATACAGCCTGGTGGGAAGGTATGAAAATCACCTTGTCAGACCCTTGTCAGGTCATTCTCAGCTGCTTTCACACTGAAGGTGTGAGTTGGGCTGGCCTGGATCACTGAAAATGTCAAAGAAACTCTGTGGCAAGGAGCTCCCAGTGGTGGTCCTGGAATAAGAGGCTACAACCAAGAGTTGTGTTATGGTGTTCATGGAGCCAGGACTAGAAACCCCATGAGGATAAATTCCTTACTGAATAGAAAGGCAGAATTACCCTACAGATCACAACGGGCAAATGTAAACTCATTTTGTTTTTTTAAAAGGTTTTATTAAGTATACAAAAGCTTCCAGAAGGCATATTGGGAAATGTTCAGGACCTTCTATCAATGTCTTTTTTTACTAAAATACCATAGGTATATTTGACAGAAATAAAAAGTACTAAAAACACAGCAACAAAAGCCTAAGTATATTGTATAGATTTTGTTTTTCAGAGAAAATACAAGATACTACAAAAGATAAAATTTAAGTCTACCGAAGTCAATGGCAAAAGACCATTATTCTTTAGTGACATGAAAGATTTCATCAAAAAGGTTTTGTACAAGAAGATCTGAGTGATCTAAATTTAATAGTATAGTGTATTTATGAAAGTATTTTTACAAGCCATTCTTCATAGTGTGTACACAAGGGATAATTAAACACAGTTCTTCAGTGACAAAAGTAATGAAAAAATACTATCTGATCACATAAGGGTACCACTGAAGCAAAGGAAACCTAGCCTTTGGACTGGTGTTAGCTTTGGATTCGGGTGATCTGTCTGAAAAGTCCTTGTTTTTATCTAGTCATTTCGAGCTAAATCCACAAAAGGCTGAAGATTCAACTACATGATGCCATGCTCTTGGGCAACAGCTGCTTCTTATAAAATACATCAGTGCTCACTGTCAGAGTCCAGATCTTCCCAGATCAAAATTATCACCACTGGATGAGAGCCTTCTCTGTGTCCTTAGCTGCAGTTCTGCATCACTGACCTGGGGAAATTTTATTTCATGCAACAGGATGGCATGAGGCCACGAGGTTTTGCAGTGCTATTGCAGAAGGTGCGGGCAGCTGTGTTTGGATTCCCTCCAGGATGGATGCAACTTAACCAGGTTAAAAAAAATATGGCACAAGGTCACAGCTCTAAGACAGCGTTTAAAATCATTAACCCTGAGCAGTATGAAGCACAAAGCAAGCAGGATGCACTGCAGAGAGGACTGTGGTTTCATGCACGACTGTCCGTGGTATTTCCTATTTTCTAGCTGGGGGATACCTGTGCTTGACCTCCCCTCCTCAGCTGCCAATGTTTTCCTTCAAGTAGGTGGCCAAGGCACCCAACTCCAGGGCAGTGGATCCCATTTCAGCTGTGGCATGCCTAAGCTTTATTCACTGATGCAATGATGCCCATAGCTCCTCTGTGCTTCAGCTCTTCATTTACACAATTAATTAATAGCAACAACGCGTACTCCCTCACTAGGGTGTTGTAAAGAAAAAGCATGCTAGAAATGGTAAAGCACTCAGATATTGCATAATAAGGGCTGTGTGACCTACTAGGGAAAATGATAAAGAATTTGCACTGTTCAAATGTGGATCAAAGTTTAAGCCCTTTAAGACTAAGTTTCTGCCCCACACAGACAAAGAACCTGGAGGAAGGACTCCTGTAGCATGTCGGCCTTGTGCTGGCCCCTGCATAATGCCACCTTTCTTAAAGCATTTTGCTAAATGCAGAGTTCCCTGAGAAAGTCCCTGGTCAAGCCATGATGAGCCACCCCAAGTTAGTTCCTTCCTAGCACGCTCCAGCCACAAGGACAGGCTGCCTTGCTGCCACTTCACGCACAGGCGTGTACTGCCCAGGTTCTGTTCAAGCAGCTCTCTCATGTTGTATTTAAGATGAGCATAAAGGTCTATTTTACATTTCCATGAGACAGAGGTGCAAGTCACAGTGCAGCTGCCAGCAGAAGGCAGCACCAAATCCCTGGGATAATCCTGACACTACAGTCAAAGAGAGTCAAAGAGTTTTGATCGCATGGGGAGAAGACCGAGCCACCACAGTACTCAATGCAAAGCCCATTCAGGCTGCTGTTGACTCTGATGTCCATTGGCCTTTTCACCGAGTAGAGCTGTAGAACAAGTAATAGAAATGGGGCATCAGTTACACCCTTACTCAGCCCCTCTGGGAAATGAAAACATCTGAAGAAAAATGTTGCAGGACCTTTGGTATGCAAATGAATACTGCACTGTGTGTCCCAGCACTTTGTAAGAAACTAGACTTGTTTCTCTTCTAGTCTTCTCCTACAACAAAGAAGAGGATGCACATGGCACAGCATAGGGCAAAATTTAAAGACCTAGTGTGATTTCACAGCTAGTGTCAACTTAAGCAACCCAGAAGTAATTTCCCATTCAGCCCATGAGAACAGGTTTAAACTTCATTTGTGCCATTCACTTCCTTCTTTAGTCCTTCTCGTTCCTCCCTCAAAGGTTCCAGTTCAGGCCCATCCCGTATGGTTTCTTTGTTCCAGTTATTTCTGCCTTCATTTTCTGTCCTTACAGATTTAGGGTCCTCTTCTTTTGCCTTTCTTTCCTTTTCCTCCTTGGCAAGCATACGATAATTATAATAATTCATGATGAACAGGAAGGTTCCTGCCAGGACCATCACAGCTCCACATTTAATGAACATGTATTTATAGTCCCCAAAGGTATCGATAAGAGTTCCTGTAAAACATATATTTAAAAACAAACAAACAAACAAAAAACTTAGAGATGAAGGCAAGAATATTGTGTTTTCAGATCCTAAATATAAAGGGACACCCTTGCGGCTTTAGGATAAAATAAGACATTCTCTGTACTTCCAATCTCTTCCACAAATACTCTGATCCTGCAAATACTTCACACGTGTTCCACTATATAGCCTGTGGGTAGTTAACATTGATATAGTAATGCTACCAATAATTTGTACAGTTAGGTAGAAGGGGACAGATGACCTACATTGCAGAGTCTGGACTTTTCAAGCACATGTGTTTTTTCCATGCAGAAATTAAGTCCTCTGATCACAGACCCTGCAGACAGCATTTCCATTGACTCCAGTGATCAACTACAAGGATGCCCACTCGAGTTGGCAGTCCTCAGGCTGCCAACAAAAGCAGCAGCTTTTGGGGAGACCTTCATGACATGGCACTTGGCCACTGGGTCTCGTCTCGGATTCTTGACAAAGACCCTCCAATTTATTCCACCACGGGTCATTCACCAGCGTCAGAGGGGACTCAGCTTTTGGCCACTGCTGCCCTTTCTGCATGATCTAAAGATGAAAGGGCACTGTGTGGAACTGGAAAATATTAGTTCCAGGGAAAGCAAAGATGATGCTGTCAATGTCAGATAATTTCAATGCCAAGACAAATGTGACAGGTTCCTCTCAAAGGTTAATGCCTCTGCTACGGAGTTACAGAGTAATTGAAGAGAGATGGCTTAATTGAAATGTCAGTGTTCTCCATTATGTCAAAATGTAATGCAAATCTTATTGGGATTATGATCCTGAGCATTAATTCCCATTTACTGGCACAACACAGACCATTCTTAACATCCCAAATCCTAATTAAAGTAAGACCCACTCCTAACCTGGCCTTCACAATACAAATAGTCCTCGCTGAAACTGGCCCATCATCCATAAGCTCTCTGTGTTTTTGGAATATGTTCTCCTCCTTAAAAAGAGAGACCTTTAATTACTTCCTGACTGACCCCTAATGTTGAAAAGCTGATGATTAATTATCCCACTGCATTATACTAACACAGGAGTTTATTGCCACCAAATAGATTTCTTGATCACAAAAATAATTTTTAACTGCTTTTGGTCAATGGTTCTTCCTGGGTCATTCCTAGATGCCTTGGTGCACCATTTTCAATGCACTGTGTTTTCCATGCTACCGGTGAAACATCAACCAAATGCTAATTACAACAATTTTTCCTTTTCTGCTAATCAGGATGACCTAGAGGTCTCCTAAATCGGTTTCAATGAGAGTTTTAATGAGTAGAGTATTGGAAAATTCAACAGTAGGGTAGTCTTGCCTCTTTTCCTTTGAGAATAAGATAAAGTTATAAAACACACTGGGAACAATTTACTTAGTTCATTAAAGCAGAACCCTGCAGTAGGTTATTAAGATGCCAAAGAACCAATAAATTTGCTGCTTATTAAAATGGTGGGGAAAACCCTACAAAATTAATATTACTGACTATTACAAAGAACTGTTTTAGCCTCATTATCAGTCTCTGGTCATTAACTTAATCTTCCACACAGAAAATTATATAATTCAGAAAATGGTCATTTTAAAACTGTATTTTCTTTTGTTTGTCATTAATTAAATAATGAATCTCTAAGACAGCAAGAGGATACAGCTGCTTCTGTCACACTGTATGAGCTACATGGTAATATGAAGAATTAAATGGCTCTGTGAGAGGTATCATACAGAGTATTAGCCAGATCTCAGTTTTGAATCCAGGAAATGGGTTTAAACTGCCTTCTTTCTGTGCATGCTTTAAATTTATTATAATATTGGCATATCAAAAGATTTAGCAGAGTTTAACTTCTATACATCAATACATACAGCACACACAACATAATTAAACACTTTAGCATACTTAAAGGTGACCAGTTTCCAAACCAGTTATTATAGCTTGCATACAGCTGAAATGCATTATAGATAGGGTATCTATAGGTATCTATACATTGAGAGGATGCCACCTGTAAAGTCATTTAATTCATAGCCAACTCAGATTTGATAAGGACTGTACTAGAGCCAAGTGCCAGATTCAAACATGGTGTCTTCCAGACATGGTGTGTTCCTTGTAGAAAAGAAATGAGCACATGCTACAGAGGGAAAGAAGCAGAGGCTCTTAAAACCACAGGAGATCACTGCTCCCACTTATTTTCAGATGACTGTAAGCCCTGCTGGAGGTTCCGTATTGTCAGCATGGACCCTTGAGGGTCTCTGTCTTTTGATATTTCAAACCATGCCATCCAAAAAAACCTTCTTTTTTATTTTTGGAACAGCCTTCAATCTATCAGATGCTCTGAGGTGACTGGAATCCATAGGTGGAAGTACTCAGATCGTTAGAGACAAATAGCAAATACTAAGTTTGAAACAACAAGAGGATTTCATAGAACTGTGGTGTTTTACTGTGCTTAAATTGTGGTGGACTCCAGCCTTTTGCAACAGGCTCTCCAGGAGGAGAGGTTCTTGGCGTTGCACAAGTCCCAGTCTGCAAGTTAGGTTTAAGTGTTTGAAGGGATCAGGGACTAAAAGATCACTCTGCAACTCTTGACTTCAACTGGAGGACTACACAGAAAGGAGTAAAGAGGAAACGTTGGAGGAGATACTTAGAACCTGCCTTCCCTGTACAATTACTAGTGGAGAGGAAACATTGGAGGAGATACTTAGAACCTGCCTTCCCTGTACAATTACTAGTGGAAGAACTGTGGGTGGGAAGCAGAGAAGACATTTTTACAATCACTTCTTACAAACTGTGCTTGCAAGAGGCTAAATGTAAGTGACAACCCAGTGGAAGCAAATACACTCACCTCCAATAGGTGGTCCCAGCAATATAGTGCAGCACTCCGCAATGGTGACCAGGCCAACAGCGCTTGTGAATCGGGCAGCTCCCACGAGGTCCATGAGCGTTTCAAAAAGCATGGCACAAACCATGCCAAAGGCCAAGCCGAAAAAGATGGAGTAAACAACAAGCCCCGTGTAGCCAGAAGCCAGCGGGCACAGAAGGTGGCAGGCGCCATTGAAAGCAATGGAGAAGCTGAAAAAGTATTGAATCCGCGGCCTCACCCACTTGCTGTTTGCAATGATGCCAGTGGTAGGTCGGGCAATCATATCCACGATGGCAAGGATTGAAAGGAGGAAAGCAGCTGAATATTCATCAATGCCGATGTGCTTTGCATAGGGCGCCAGAAAAACAATGGGGGCAAAAAACCCCAGGAACATGAGCACATTTCCGATCAGGTAAATCAAGAACCCTCTGTGCTTAAAGAGGGAAAAATCGAGGTACTGATTGATTTTTTCACAACAGTCCTTTCCTTCTTCCTCTTCCACTTCAGTCTCCATGGGGACATTCCTGGGGCTCCTCATTTCCATGGCATCCTTCGTGACCTCTTCTTTTGGGGTCTCCTTTCCTTCCTCAATCGCCTGGGTTTTGACTGACGCTGTGGCTGCCCCAATGGGTCTGAAGAGAGCTCCTGCCACACAGCAGTTTAATAAAATTGCCCCAAGAATTAAAAAGCTGCCCCTCCAGCCAAAATTGTCAAAAAGGAACTGGTTGAGAGGAGCCAAGGTGCAAAGCATCACGGGGCTCCCTGCCATAGCCAGTCCGTTCGCAATGGGTCTTCTCTTCAGAAAGTATTTCCCTATGATTATCACTGATGGCTGGAGGTTGAGAGCAAGGCCAAATCCTGGAACAGAGAAGAATAGTTGAGATGATACACAAAGGAAAGACATGAGACCCATTTATCATCAGCTCATTGTTTTAGGCAACTTCATGGACAATTGGCCCACTGGTGGCTCTTCAACATGATAATGCGGATGCAAACTTTGCTCCAGATAGCCCTAACTTCTGGCTGCCATACTTAGGAAACCAGGTCCCATAAAGGCACTTTCAGTCAGAGGATGCCCCCTCCTTTTGCACTGCAAATCTTTTGGGTGGCAAAGCTAGTGCAAAGAGTCTGCTTCAGAAGAGATTGAAACTTCACCCTCAGTGAATGCTGGCTGGTTTTGTCCAGACACAGCAGTCTTGTTGGAGGACAGGATAGATCTATTTATTTAAAAAAAAAAAAAAAAAAAAAACAAACCCCCCAT